CGCCCGGCCCCCTTCGTAACACTATCTGCATCGACAACCCCATCTGCATCCCCTGTCCCCTTCCCAGCCCCATCCACTTCCCCCAGCCCCATTCCCAACCCTATCCCTATCTGGGTCCCCATCCACATCCCCAACCCCGTCCCCATCTGCATCCCCATCCCCGTCCGCATCCCCATTTGCATCTGCGTTCCCCAACCCCATTCCTATCTGCACCCCAAGCCCTATGTCCAGCCTCATCCCTATCTGCATCCACATCTGCATCCGCATCCCCAGCTGCATTCCCAGCCTCATCCCTATCTGCATACCCAGCACCGTCCCCATCTGCATTCCCATCTGCATCTGCAACCCCAACCCCATCCCCAATCCCATCCCTATCTGCATCCCCATCCACATCTGCATCCCTATCCCTAATCCCATCCCTATCCGTGTCCCCATCCAAATCCCCAGCCCCATTCCCAACCCCATCCCATCTGCATCCCTACCCGCATCCCTAACCCCAGCCCCATTCCACCTGCATCCCCATCTGCATCCCCAGCCCCAACGCTATCTGCCTGCCCATCCCCTTCCCCATCCGCACCAGGCTCCACGTTCTCCTCCAGGCCTTTCCCGGACACACACACACACGCTTTTCCTCATCGTTTGATCAGCTTTCTCTTACTACTTCCCGTTCAGTGGTTCACACCTGATGACAAACCATCACTGGAGCACTACCTTGTTTTCACAGGGTTTCCTTTGGTTTTGGCTCCAACGGCCCTAAGCACCTGGTTCTCCCCAGGTGGTGGCCCACGGGAAGAAGCATCCTTCTACAACGGGCTTGGGCACGCTTTTGCCTCCTCTGAAGGCATCAAAGCCACTTACCTGCTCAAATCCGGCAAGTGAACCGGGAAACCCTCAGGCACGTGCTGAAGGGACAGCAAATGCCTCCTCTCGCGCAGGTCAGGGCTGAAATCGCACCGTGTAGGTTGTGGCTTGGTCCGGTTGGCGTCTTTTCATGCCCAGGCCAGAGGCTGTGGCTGCATTAGTGGGCTTGAGTGAGCGTGGTGAGATGCCACGACAAGAGGGATTAGTGCTGCACAGACGAGTAGACAGAAGGGTTTGATTTGTTGGTTTTTTTTTAAAAAGCTAATTTATTGGGATCTTTGCATTAGGTAGCACAGGCACGGAGGATCGAATCCCTTGAGCAGGACGGCTGGTCACTGTCCGGTTGCAAAGGTCCTTGTGGCAGCATCTCCAGCTGGAGCAGGTGAGACTCCTCAACTGACACCCACCCTGTCCTGCACAATATCCCGCCTGATCTGTGGTTATTAATTATCTTAAACTACCTACAAAACATCTCCGAACTATCTAATGTGTATCTTCTGCTATTACAAACTGCCAGCACACAGTTTGGGCGA